AATGAATACGACGTGTATCATACCATTTACGCATATCTTTCATTGTAAATTACATTCTTTTATTCGTTTATGTCTGAAGTGGCAAGAATACGTGCTTCAACGGATCACAAAGTGTTACAGCTGTCGGATGCTATCAGGAGAGGTTTTGGGTGCGAAGGTGAAAACCAATCAGCGATTTCGTATTGAACTCAGAAATTATGGAAAGCAATCACCGTGAAGTCTATTGCATCAACTCTTTCAAATTTATTAAAGTCATTATCCAAAACTTCGCTCGCTCGAAATATACGGATAGTGACTCTGCTGCTGCAGATAATCTGCAAAAATATGTCTTTATACAATTTCGAATAGTAATTTTGGCTTGGCGCCTGCCAATGTCTATATTCAAGCTATGCACATCACGTCAGTAAGATATAAAGTTGTCTCGACGCATAAATTGAATGTTTTTTCCCGCTGGATCACTTCGAAACTTTACCATCTTACAAGAACGATGGTCCTCCTTGGGTTTTGGCGTCAATTTCCTTACGCAGATGAGGGTAAACAATGTAATAGACCCCTGACTATCGAAGAATTACCACACACGTATCAGCGAGAGTGCATACTGATCACGGTCTCACATACTGGCCAAAGTCAGGAAAATCGCTATTAACTTTCCTTTGCATTGTCTTCAAGACTTTGTGGATCATTATGGTATCTTCGCAACACACAAATATCAAATATTCTTTCCACCTGACCTACTTCGAAGACACGTTTTATGTCTGGCACAAAATTTGACCTTTTTTCACATTGGCATGTAATTGCCAAATAATCCCAGTTAAAGTGGCCAGTAACGGATATAGTCTCGAACACAAACTAGTCATCATCACATCTAATCTGTGACTACGTAAAACTTCTTTCATAGTCAAATTGATACTTCACATCCAAAGCTGCTAAGAACAAGCTTCGGATTACTGGCTTTGTTTCAACGTCGGATACATAGTAGTTTGATACCGTTTAGATCGTCATGTAAACCAAGTACGCTCACACCGCACGCTCCGTCTGTATCACAAGGTAATGGTATGTTGATATAAGTCCTGATGGAAAACAGAAGTCAAGTCAAGCAGTATATGTATTCATGAATGCACAAACGTTGACCAAACACCACTTTGCTAACCCAAAAGCGTTTTTGGGCTTGCAAGTGGCATCACAACAATGAAGATACTTTCTGCAGTCTATTCACAACTTCCTTATGAAAAATTAAAATTGGTCTATGACTGTGCTCCCGATTTCTTTTCGTCTTCAACATTAGTCTATACA